GCTGCTGCTGCTGCTGGCATCTCGGCTCTTGGCTGCTTGCTGGTTGCTGCTGCTTGCTGCTTGCATGCTTGGTGCTGCTGGATGCCTGCTGCTTGCTGCTTGCATGCTTGCTGCTGCTGGATGCTGGCTGCCTGCTGCTTGTTGTCTGCCTCCGTTTTGCTGCTGTTGCTGTTTGGGGTTGTTGGCTGCTGTTGGTGCTGAAGAAAGCCTATTCGTTAGAATCGAGAGTAGTTGCATTCCCTCTGAGTCGTGAAACGATGCTAATTTCATTATATCCTTAAGAAGCTTGTACAGGCATGTACCCACCCCACAACCCCCAAGAGTACAAATCAGAATGCACTATCCGCTATCCATGCAGATCAAAAGATGATACTTACTACACACATGAATGACAGGACCCAGTAAGATGTTTGAACGGGCTGTTTGCTTCACTCATGATGGAATGCCCCTGGGGTTCAATACTTGGAAATGATCCAATGTTTGGTTTTCATGTGAGCTTTGGCCTCTTTTGGCTTTGATGTGAGCTCTAGGTCTGGCTGTGAAAAACTCCTTGCTTTGATGTGAGCTCTAGCCTCTGGCAATTTGATGTGAGCTCTAGTCTCTGGCTGCTTTGAATGGAAACCTTGCTTCTCACAGACTCACAATATAAAGACTTAATAAAGCTTTTATATCTTGTAAATGTTTGTGTGTGTGGGTGCTTTCCTGAAACAATGAAAACGTTTCAGGGATAAACACAAAGACCAGAGGAGCCAGGAGCCTGTTCCCTCCCGCCTGTGGACAGTTCTACATAACTAGTGTAAAAGGCTTGGCACAGTTTTTGCAAGTACTGTTGGCGCTGGTTGCCTCTGTTCGCGAGTGCAAGAAGAGCTGTCTGCGCCTAAAAGGTGTGCAGGCTCAGATCCAATGGCCTTTGTTTGAGCCATGGACCTGTCTGACTCAGACCCTGAAGACGCACGAGCTGTGGCTTCTATGGTAATTTTTGCAGTTATGTATCCGGACTAGTCTTTTCCTATTGTCTTTGTTAATTTGGACACCTTTTTCTATGCAGTTTGTTGGTCAGAACTCTCCAAGGAGGGTCGCTGGTTGCGTTGCCAGCCAAACGGAGCCTGGAGCCACTTCCCGCACCTCCGCTACCAGAAGGAGATTTCAGAGAACTCCAAAAGACGCTTTGGAAACCATGCCTCTGCAAGCAGCAGAGTTCTAAGGAGCACAAACCCAGTTGCTTTGCGCCTTTCCAGAAAGGTGAGTTGTGGGGCAGTCTGCAAACGTGGCGGACATCTTTCCAGGCACTCCACAAGCTGGACCAAGATCGGCTTGAGCCTAGTCTTCTCTTGAACATTGTTTTGGGAGGGGTGTTCTGTGCCTACCTGTTTTTTCACCTGAAATTGTTTTAAACCTTACATTGTGGAGCTAAGTTGTTTGACTTCCTTCGCGAAACTGCTCTTTCACAGAATGCGATAAACCCATCTCATGGACAGCCTGGTGGTGAAGCTGTGCCAGAGACAAAGCCCTCCCTCCAGTACACTTTCTTGGGACAACGTGTATGTCGTGGTGCCTTAGCAGTTCTGATGGGAGTGGGATGGTCGCCTAGATTAATGACTTTGTTGAAGGCTGTGCTTGCTGGGCAGCGTGCAGCCCCTGTGGATGCTCGGTATATGACCCGCAAACACAGTGACCCCAGACCAGTTTACAGTGAAGTGTACTCCTATTTGGAAAGCCTGTACATGTCTGTGGCCGAAACCTTGCCATTGGAAGATCGGAAACTGAAAGATGGACTAGAGGTGTGGAGTGATGATGAGGATGCTTATTGCCCAACCCTGAAGGATGCTCAGAAGGGTCACCCTGAACTTCGATACCTAACCCCAGGAACAATATATGACCTCTGGAGGCAGTACAATGCCACTTCTGGCCAAACATGTTCTTGGCATTGTTTTCACCAATGTTGGAAAACAGAGTTTGCACACAAGATGACCTTTCGAGATCGGTACATGTTTTCCGTCTGCCCAACGTGTGTTCAACACAAGTTGCTACTTCGTGGCATGGGAGCTGACAGCAATGCCTGCTTGCGTCAACGCATGTTGTATGACCGGCACTTGGCCAGTCAATTCAACGACAGAAAAACCTACTGGAGCATTCGTGCTCAGTCCCGACTCCATGAACGCATCATCGTAGCCATAGTTGATGGCATGGATCAAGGTAAATATGCAACACCACGCAGTGGACTCTTCAAAGGACACTCCTTTGACAAGTACACTCGCCCACGGCTCCATGTTTGGGGGCTCATATGCCATGGATATATGGCACTGCTGTCAGTGTCGGACGCTGATGTCAGCAAGGGTGGAAGCACAACGGCAGAGCTGATCATTCACATGTGTACAATTTTGCTGAAGCATGGCATCCAGCTACAGAACTACGACCTAGTTCTTCAGCTAGACAACACGACGTCTTCCAACAAGAACAACACCTTGACATCCCTTTGTGGGGTACTCGCCCAGCGCAAACTAGTAAGGTCTGCCCGACTCTCATTTTTGAGAGTCGGGCATACCCACGAGGACCAAATCCTTCCAAAACAAGACACATACGCGCGTGACGTTTTCTGCTTCATCTTGCAGCTGCATCTCTTTGTGTATAAGAATATAATCGTGTATATATGTATACATACATCGTCACAGTAGCACTGGGGCCCTGGAGGACATTGACCAATGGTTTGGGTCTTTGTCAAGAACCTTATTTAAATTTATGGAACCTATTTTTTTGGGGTAACCCTTTCTGTTTATGCTAGTTGTTGCAGTTGAGGGCCATCATCGAAGCAAAAACCAAGGATTCATGCTCCGCCGTGTGCCAGTGTCAGAAACCCCCGACCATTTGGTCCAAGTTATCAACCAGCACTTTCTTGCAGACCCTCAGATGAGACCCCATGAACGGTTGAAGGTCTCTTTCAAGTTGGACACCATTAGAGATTGGAAGAGTTGGTTGGCAGCTAGCGGCAAACGAATCACTGGTCTTCTTGGTCCGGCAGCTCCGCATGTGCTTGAATTTGTCCGTCGTGACAGCTACTTGCCATCCACTGCAACCTTTATGAAACCTTTGTGGCACGTGGGCAAGCAAGGCCAAAAAACAGATAGAAGATTCCACAAGTATACAGATTCCACAAACAACAGCATATGATGTTTGTACCTTTCCTTAAGACACATTTGTTGTATCGTATCGGTGGTGGTTGGTAGAACATGGTGGGGGAACAAGGCCCTGCTCTCTTTGGATGTGAGGTTTGTCTATGGATGATCCTCTGCGACGTGAGGGCTCCTTCAGTGATGTGGTGCTGCAGTGCCTTGCTTGCCTTCAGTGCCTTCCTGTGTTTTCCTTGCAACACTTTCAATAGAAAATAAAAGGTACATATAGAGGGGTGGCCTGGCCAGCAAACAATGACAAACCTTTGTCGCCTAGCTCACAGGTGCAAGCAGTGGATGGCAGACCGAGCGTGCTACAGCCGCGTGACCTTCCTCACCGCAGACGATGTCAAGCGTCTTGATGGTCCTTGTCCCAAAGGTTCCTGGAAATCCTTGGAATGTTTGCTGTTGAAAGAGTAGTTAGTCCTGGGAACTGCCAGTGGGTTTTGGTCCACTTACAGACCTTCTTCATTCAAAAAAGAACCCCTGAAGCAAAACCCTGCTCTAGGAAATCTAGCGCGGAGACCCAAACCTGCCAAGTATGTCAAGATGATCAAACAGTTGGCTGATGCAGTGGAGAAGGCACCTTTCCAGATGAGAGCTGCTGCTGAGTATTTGCGAGGTTGGGTAGAAGAAAGTCAACGATTGGCCCCCTCCCTTGACATTTCCTTCATGTCTACATCTGTGCCTGACATCATCACTCCAGCTCTCAGTGGATCGCCTCGGCCAGACGCTGTCGCTTTGGAACCTGACGCTGGTAGGGTTCGTGTACAGGGAGGGAACTTTGCTCCGATAGATCTCGGCACGCCCGTGTCCAACCCTAGAATGGACTTAATTTGTGGGATTGCCAACACTCTGCATGAGCAGGGGACTCCTTGGCAGAATGCTTTTGACCAAGCGTCCATCATGTGGGGAAAGCTCAGCCCTTCCCTCCAAAATGTGCTGACCCGTCCCATGAATGAATCAACCGCCCGAATGGATGAGTCTGAAGAACTTCATCCCGTAGAGGATGATTCAAACCAAGAGCTTCAAATCGAAACTGACGAAGCTCTTCTTTGAGGTGGATTGCTAAGCAATGCCGAGCCAAAAGAACTGGCGTGAAGGGTGTTTAGTCTTTTTATATGCGAGGGGAGTGTCCATCACAGTTAGTTCTTTGCGATGTCCCATCAAAGTTATTTCTTTATGATGTAACTTTTTTTTATGTGAAACACATTTAGTTGAGTCTTCACATGTTGGTGGCCTATCTTCAGGGAGTGTGTTCATTCTCTTGGCGTATGGAACACCTTTTGGAACTGTTCGCTCAGTGCCCAAGTAGTGGATAGACTTAAAGCAAGTCCACTTGTTCCCACTCCCCGCTCCTCATCTGATCCTGATGGCTTCTCAGCTGAGCGACAGCGATGTGGAAGAACCTCCAGTGGTGCGACTCAAGACCGGGTGGGAGGATTCTAGCAAGTTGAGTGACAGTGGAAGTGATGATGGCGCTGAGCTCACTCTCACATGGCAAGAGCCTGACCCGGTGAATGATGTTTTGGCGGAGATGCCAGGTCTACGAGTGGCAGGAAGGGACATGCCAGTCAGGATGGCTGAAGTCTTCGCTGGGTGTGGTGCTCTTTCCAAAGAAATGAGTCGCCGAGGCTTTGTGACAAAGGCTGTTGACTTCCTTCTTGGTGGGCCCGAACATGACATGTCAAACGATGGTGTTTGCCAAACCCTGGGGGATGAGTTCTTGAAGTACACCTATGTGCACTTTGCCCCGCCTTGCAACACCTTCAGCGCAGCCCGCTATCCCAAGCTCAGGTCAGGGTTGATGAAAAAATATGTGTGTTTTATATTATTTATATTTATACACACTAATTGCACTATAATACAAAGTCTATTTTGGGTTCTGCTTCTTCCTCCCAATTGGTGTTTAACTTCCCACGCCCAAAGGACCAAGCAGTACCCCCTGGGTCTTCCAGAACATCAAGATGATCCACAACTGCGCTTGGCCAACAAGATTATTGAGAACATGAGCAAGATGGCTAAGCGCCTTGCAGACAACTATGTTATTGTGAGTATTGAGAATCCCCGTTCCAGTGTCCTTTGGCATCACCCAAAGATTGTGGCGCTTCAAGCTCAGGCCAGAGTTTTCCAAAAAGAAACAACATGTCTTTGGAATGTAGTAGGGGCAACATGTTGGATACCATTTATAGGGACTTGCACTTTCTGCTCACTTCTTCCCTTCTGTCAGGCCCATGGGTTCTGGGACACCGTGGACTTGGACTACTGCCAGTTTGGGATGGAGTACAAGAAGGCTACACGACTGCTGACGGTTCAGCACAACAGATTCCCAGAAGAAGAGGGCCCTTCATTCCTGTCCTGCTTGGCAAAGAAGTGTGATGGGAGCCACACCCATGTGACTTTGTCAGGGTGGGGAGCATCCGGAAAGAAGCGCGCAACCAAGGGCACCGCCATCTACCCACCACAGCTTGCTCGTGAGTGGGCTGAGGCAGCGGGCCAACACCTGGTCCGCTACCACTGAGCCAAGGCGCTCTCTCATAGGCCCAGCATTTTGGCAGACCAGTGGTAGATCTTGATGTTCACCTTCTCGATGTTCCACTTCCTGGGTTTCATTTGCTGGGTAAACTGGTTCCTCCAAAAACCTTGGTTGATATCCAAAAGACCTTGGGTTCCTCAAAAACTATTTTGGTGTCAGCGACTGGTCAATGTTTTGGACACTGGGCCTTGTGCAATCCAAATTTGGTAGATTATGGAGAGGCAGGTGATGGTCTGGAATGATGTATTTTATGCTTGGATTCTGTTTGGCCTTGATAGCCGTCAGGTTTGTTTTGTTGAATGTGGAACCGGGATCATTACCATAACAGAAATAGAAGGCCTCACCTACACTGAAACCTGTCGCTCGAGCATTGGGGTGGTGCGCAAAAGGTTGCGGGAGGCAGCCGTGGGCCATCAGTGTACTTCAAGGACCTTTGGGAAAACACAAATGCTTCAGGAGAACTTCACCCTCCCCTCCTCACATCAGTGTTTTGTGCACTTCCAATGGGGTGGTTTATCCAAGAAAAACAAACTCAACTAATCAAGAGAGCCCTTCTTTCTTTTCCTGCTTGGCAAAGAGGTGTGGTAGGCGAAAGCGCCCATGAAAGGTACCCTGTACACGCTGTACGCCAAGGCTCTTTCATAGGTGTGCAGGTGCAAAAAGACCAGAGGCAAATCCAGAACTTCATCTTCCTTAGATGCTTCTGGTTGGCAAACTGGTTCCTACTAGAACCTGGTTCCTACTAGAACCCATGGTGAGTTGGGCCAACCGCAATGCTTTGGAGCATGATGGGAGGTTGGCGATGTTTTTTTTTTGCTTGAAGCGTGCCAGTGGCGCGCACTGGGTGGAGATCTGCGTGGACCCCTCAACATACAAATAAAAACACATGTGGGAATGGATGCTAGTTAAGTATCTGCTTCTCTTGCACACCTGTCCATATAGGTGCCCCACAAGAATCATAGTTTGTCTGCGGGTGTGACCCCAAGGTTTGTGTTGTGAACAATGGACAGATGTGCATTCTTACATACAATATCGTCTAGTATATACTACATATATATATTATAATATGGTATATACTACTATAAACTACTGAAGTACATATCTATATATCAAAGGTGGATTGCTCGGAAAACTCGAGTTTGAAATCGAAAATCGCTCGGAAACACAGCGGTGTGTATCCCAGATTCCTCGGATCTGGGCATTGCCAACAAAACCACCGTTTCTGAGGAAGTTGGATGGACTTCCTCGGATCTGGGTGGTTGCACCTGGCCCATGCCAGGCCTTAAGGGGCTTGAAGTCTGAGGGCACCCCCTGGAGAAGGCACTGGTTTCTGAGGAAGTCCATTCAACTTCCTCGGACTTGGGATTGTTTTTCAGAAGTGCCAAGTCTGAGGGATCCAGTGAGGTTCCCGTTCCCGTTTCTGAGCGGTGCTCGGAAATCAACATGTTCCCGCAGCCGTGACCATCCTCCCAAGTGCAGCCGCCACTCGCTAGCATAGCGTCTGCAAGACCATCTCCAAGATGGGCAAGAGGGCCAGTGGTGGTGGGGGCAACGTCTCAGCTCGGTCTGCAAAAAAGGCCAAGTCTGAGGATGGCATTGGGGAACTAGTGGACAAGGAACGAGACACCATTGCCCATTTGCCGTGGTGGGATGATGTCATGAAGTCTCTAGATGAGATGATGGTCTCACATGATGGCCTTCCCAACTTCTTCATGGCTCGATTCCCTGACTTGGACTCCAGAAAGGAATTTGCTCAGGAACTTTCCCAAGCTTTTCCACTACCAGACGGTGAATGCCTAAGCAATGACTTCACTCCTGGTATCAAGACATGGGCCATTTGGCAGGGGTGCTTCCACATCCAAGGTGGGAACAAGGGGGTCGTGATATCAGAGTACATGAAGAACTTGGTGATGCTCATCCTCACCCAGGGGTGCAAGACTGATGCTACTCGAACACCTGGGGTGGAATTCCCAGTTCTCCAGCCCCTCGTGCCTGCATACTTTGAAGTGGAATGGAAAACAGCGTCCATAGTCCCAAAAACCTATGAGTGCCAGGGGTTGGCCTTCACCAAGGGTTGGACTAGATCGCTTGGCTTCCTCACCGCTGCCTACCTCATCTTAAAGCATGAGCTGGTGGAGTTCTACCAGAAGAGCCTGCCCAACCAGTACCGGAGCTTCTGTGTGTTGAAGGGTTTGGTCCCAGAGAATGCACGTTCAGAGCTTGACTGCATCACCGCCAATCGTGGTGCCTAGTTTATGGTATTTGGAAACATTGTGTTTTTAGGTGCTCCAAAAATGTAGGCTGATCACCTTCCTGTACTTGCAGTCTTGTGAATGCTTTAACAATTCCCCAATCATTTTTCATTTTTCTGTTTTTAATTTTTTATGTTTTTCATTTTTCATTTTTGTTTGTTTTTTCATGAGCGCCCGTCAGCTGAGATCTTACCATGGCATCCGTTCAGACCCGCTCGAAGCCAAATGCTTTTAATGCTTTGCACCAGCTCCAGCGACGGCTCAAGCATGGAGAGACTGTGGAGCAAGTGATTGGACACATGGAGACTGGAAAGAGTCTGAAGAGCATCTTTGGTCTTTCAGGAGCTGAGGGAGCAGCTGTGTTCAACCTGGTGCACCACCTGCCAACTGCGTGCAAAAACATTTATGAGCGTGGAGTGGCTGAGTTTGGGATTGTGAAGGGGCCTATCACCCATGCTGGTTTAGGCTGTCATGCCATGCGAGTCAACTTTGCACCAGACTTGATTGCAAGTGACTGGTCGGCCAATATGAAGAACACCCAGTCTTCTTTGCTCCTGGTGGCTGAGCGAATTGTTGGGGATTTCAAGGCGTTGCCACCTGGTCTTCGTAAGTCTGCGGGGGCTCCGGAAGTGCAGCGATTGACTCGCATTGCTCGTGCTTGGGAGATTTGCCTCAACAAGTTCAGCGGGCTTGTGCCGCACAAGACCATGGTTGAAGAGCTCCCAATCTTGAAGGACATGTTTGCGAAGCGGGTCTTTGATGACTGGCTCCACAACCTCACAGAAGAGTGTCCTGCAGAGATCAACTTGGGGAGCGTGCCTGAGTTCCACAAGGTTCTGTGCAAGCACCAAAGCTCGATTGAGAAGGAGTGTTTGTGCTTGTGTTCAGTGAGTGGTTTTTGTTGGAAGCTTTCTTGCCCAAGGGTCCCAGAACACTTAAACAATATATAGTTTGTTAATACAATTTTTTGTGTCAAGTTTCTTGCAGGAAGCAGTGGAGCGGGCGAAGAGCTTGCAGCTGCAGGTCCAGACCGCCACTTTCCAAAAGATGGAGGATGACCTGGAGCGAGACACGAAGGCCTTGAAAGAATGGTCTGCGCAAGAGCTTCAGAGGAAGCAAAGCTGGAATTCTATCGTGCTGACTCACAAGCGGCGTCGCTATGTGAAGGGGCTGGCGGCTGTCCGAGACTTTGCTTCTACTTCCTTGCGGGTGAAGACTGTGGAGGTCCCTGCGTTGGAGATGGAGATTGCTTCCTTTCGCAGCAGTGCTGACACAGTGCACAGTGTGCCTCTGGAGAAGAGGCCTTTTGGATCAAGTTTGAAAAGCTGAAAAAGAACTTTTCTATTATCATATATTTTCATACACAACATGTTCTATTATGTTCTTTTTGGGCAGTCTGTCCATCATGTTGTAAGGTTGCTTCTGATGGTCTTGGACTTCACTGCGCCCCCAAGTCTGAGTGAGATTGATGCTTTGGTCCAAGCTGGACGCAATGTCTTGCACCAGGATATCAGGAACGCCATGCTGGTTCTCTTCCCTCAGAAGTATTCAGGGCAAAGCTCCAAGGCCAATCTGGCTGCAGCCAGGCGCATTGAGGACATGCTGCTGAAGTGCAACGCCAACATTGATTGTGACATTGCTCTCCACTACACTGTTGAGGGTATGCACGCCAATGATCGTCGCCAGCTTGGAGCGCGTGCTCGGCTTGTGTACTCAGATTCACTTGCAGGCGATTCCCCATGGATGAATGGACTGGGTGCCCGTGGGAAAGTTTCTGAGATCCCACTCATCCGCATCAAGGAGATGAAGCGGCTTTGCCAGCCTGGTGCGGTTGGTGACATTGTTGAGTCTTGGAACCTATCACCAGCTGAACGTGTTCAGCAGAAGGGGCCAAAAGCTGTTCTCAAGATTGTGCAAGTCCTTTTGGATGGCATGACTGGCTTGGGACCTGACCATCGCCTTGATCTAGTGGAGCTCCAACTGGGAGGTGTCCCTGATTGGGTTGAGGGCAGCTGGCAGATGAAGTCCACGTGGGCAAGTCAGCCTGACAAGCCACAAGTTGCCTATGGAGGCTTCTGCCGGGACATGGCGATCTACAAGAGCATTCAGGGGCATTTGGAAGCCACTCTCATGCAGGAGTGGTGGGAATTGCAACATGTAGCTGGGCCCCCAGAACCCACTGACAGCGCTCCAGTGGACAAACCGGTATTGAGCTTGGCAAGTTGGGATGGGGAATCGCCATCTCTCTCTGACATTGTGCTCTCCAAGTTTGACAACGATGAAACATACTCCTCAAAGTGGAACGCCAAAGTTTCTGAGTTCAGGGAATTTGTGGCGTCCACGGTGGCACCTTTGCTGGAGGCATCTGTGTCTAGTGACACGGGAGGAGCCACGCCTAAAGGAGGGAGCGGCGGGCCTGACATGTCGGTTGCTCCCTATGTGCCTTGCACTCCTGAAGTGACCTTGCCTGCTATTCCCATATCGGAGATGAGGCTGCCGGATGTGTTTCTTGCTTCTTGATTAGGTGTCCTTTTTCTCTTTGAAAAACCATAAATCAAAACAAAAATTAAAACAATTATATATATAAATCAGTATAAAAAAACAAACAATCTTTTGGTTTTGAACTGGGACCTCAAGGCTCTTCACCGTGAAGGCTGTGCCCAAGCTTCCCGCTCTCCACATCATGAAAGACTACACAGTGTTCATGTCGTTGGATATGGATGGCGTTCACAAGAACACTTCAACGCTTTCCATTGGGCCATGTGAACTTCTGGGCTTCAACATTGGTGATATTCAATCATCAGGCGGGGTCTCCAAAACAAGAATGTTTTTATGTCTTTACTTCCAACTTGTTTCATGCCTGTGTGGGCACGCATAGAACAAGAATCCTAAGTGCCCAGTGTTCCACCCTTGTGCCAGATGCCACTGTGGACTTGGAGAATGTCATCCAGTGGAAGTGTTCATCGGATGTGGAAAAGGTTGCTGTCCAACTGGACGACCCGTCTTCTACCAGGGAACTCATGACTATAGCCGAGGTGCGCTTCAAGGCCTTCCAGAAGAATCTTCCAGACCTTGGAGTGTTGGGTCATGTTGTGGAACCGCTCAAAGTCACCAAGGACTGGTTTCCAAAAAACTATTGGGTCCCAATGGCACCAAACATGGTTTAATATAAACAGGGTTTCATATATTCACATATATAAATAAATAGATAAATATATATATATATATAAATATAAGGTTCAATATAAACCGGGGGTTGCATCCCGGAGGATGGAGTGGAGGTGGAAGCCTTCATGCGCTGCACGATCCAGCCAAAGCTTGATGGCAATGTCATCTACACACCCCAGGCATTGAGTGATTCCCAGCTAGCGGGAGGTGTTCTGAAACGTGCAGCAGCAGGTGCTGCCTTTCTTGGGAGGTTGAGCAAGCTGACCTCTCTGAAATCCACCAAAATGGTATGGGATAGTGTTCTGAAATCTGAACCCCCGGCGACCTTGAGGCCAACAAAGCCCAAGTTCTATCTCATGAAAAGTATCACCTTGGAGCCTGGTCTATTTTACCAGCTGAAATGAGTTGGTGTGGCATTGAGTAACTGTATGGCTTAATCCCTTGTTTTCTGTATATTCTAGGATTCTAGGATGGCTGTTTCCAGCCGTTCTGTTTTTTGTTCACCTGCCACTGCCAACCTTGATTTTGATCGGCGTGAGAACACGCAAGGGATTTGGGGGTATAGCACTCCTCAGAGTGCTTTTGGAAAGGGAAGTGGAGTGAACTCAACCGTCCACTTACTGCCCATGAAGTGGCAAAGATCTGTGCTGAAAAGAAAAACAATTTCCAACCTTTCAAGTTAAGTTTTGGAATTCAAACAAGCTTTACTTGGTGCTTGTGAGGATGCTAACATGGACTCTGTAGAGTTTGGGCTTTTTGGGGCGATCTAGTTAGTCGCCAGTAGAGTCATGGCAACTATCTTCCATGAGCAAGTGGATGAGTTGAGCGATAGCGACGCCTCGCCTAAAGGTGACTTAGAATATCCAGCAATATTATCTCTATTTTGTCAACGGTCGACATCGATGTTATTCCTGTTGGCTCATCATGGTGTTTTATCTGAGGTGACCCACCATCCCGTCCGTCTGCTTTGAGAAAGCCAAAGTCGCTACCACAGGCTCCTCATGCCTCAGGGATGCCAAAGGCGAAGGCGAAGGGGAAGACTCTTCCCAAAGCCCCCAAAGTGAAGGAGGCAGCGGCTCCTACAAAGCCTACACCTACACCGAAGCCGAAGCTTTTGCCTACACCGAAGACTCTTCCCAAGGCCAAGGTTTTGAAACATCCTGCTGCTGCGGCCTTTGGGGAAACTATGGGGACGGTCCCACCCATTGAGGGACCGCAAGGTGATGCTGGCGCCACCGCCAATTTGAATGAGGAGAAGCATGAAACCGGCCGTGTTGGGGAACTTCCAGTTGCTGAGACCAAAGGTGAGACCAAGAAAGATCTTTACACTTTGATGCTCTACCAAAGCAGGCAGATTGCAGCCATTCGCGAGACCACGGGGAAGAAGAAACAGGTGTTGCAGGCTGGGTGCAAAATAGTCCAAATTCAATAAGCTCCAACAAGGGAACCATGTTTTTCCAAAGCCTCCAATATTTCTATACCTGTGAACTTCTATGAGTATAGGTCTTTTTGAAGGCCCTCTTTAAAACAGTGCAGGTGGCTGTTCGTGGGGCCACGCTGAAGCAGAACAAGGAGATCTGTGAAGTGTTGCTGAATTACCTGAATGCTGGTTGGGCCGTGCCCGATGTCATGGCAATGAGGCAGACCATGCAGGACAAGCTCACTGAGCGTTTGCAGGATCCGCACATTGCTTGGAACTGAAGTGCTGGCTAGCTGCCTAGCTTCGCAGCTGTAGTTTTGACGCCATGACCCATGAGCCAGCTGAGAAAAGGAATCAAGAGACATGTTTTGGACTCAAGGCTTCTTTTCAACATGAAGGTCAGTTGAGTCAGTTGTTTCTATGCGAGGTTGGATTTGTTTGTCTGTTTTTTTGCAATCGAACATTGAAATAAGAATGAGAAGTTTTTCTAGCGATAAACGTGACGTCCTGAAGATGAAGTCTTCACAAGCTGACACAAGCTGTTTCGCAAACGGCGCTCGTCCAGGCTATAGAGCTTACAAAGCAAAGGGAAAACACACTGGGTTTCACCCTGTCCCTTCACACGAATCATCGTATCGTGCTCAAAACCTTCACCTTCACCATGAGTTCCTTCATGGGTGTGTGTGTGTTGTTAAATGTGTATGACAACCCTTCAGGCCTCTCAAAAAATAGTCTTAGGCTAGTAAACCTTCTTGGCAACTTCTTGCCAAAGGTTTACTGAAGAACATTCCAATCAATCCTGCACGGCAAGGTTCTGGCCTAAAAGAAAGTGAAGCTGACACATCATTCACTTCTTGATGGTGGATGCTGGCTTGGCTTGTTTTATCTTTGACCCCGGTGATCATCCGTAAAGCATGGTAGCATGAGCACTGAGCCTTCACAGAACACAGACACAGAATCCAAATATTGGATCATTTCCAAGTATTGAACCACAGGGTCGAGTCATCATGGTAGTCCGCGTTCCATGTTCGAGCGACAGGGAGCATGCACAAGCGTTGCGACGGAGTCTTCGGTCGCTGACACATGTTCGCATGCAACCCCTAGATGTCAATCATGCACACCGTTGCTGGCTGCATCGTCAGCATTTATTCCTGGAAAAAACAGAGATATCAGATATATCTGTCTTTCCACGTCGCCCTTCTACAATTACTCAGGCAGCACCTATAATTATGTGCTATTGTTCGAGACCAAATGTTGGGACTCTGCTGCTGCTGCTGCTGCTTGCTAGCTGCTCCTGCTGCTGCTGCTGCTGCTTGGTAGCTGCTGTTGATGCTGCTGCTTGGTAGCTGCTGTAGCTGCTGCTGCTTGGTAGCTGCTGTAGCTGCTGCTGCTTGGTAGCTGCTGCTGCTGCTGC